TAACTTTGATACCTCTTTCCCATTGTTGCTTCTGTTGTATTGTGTTACAAATTCAATTGAATCAATGCTTAATTTGTAGCCTCATGTGCTTCCTCATATATATATAAGAACACACACCAAGCAAAATGGAATCTGCAGTTTCTTTTTCATGTTTCAATTTTCTTTTTCTTAATGTTCGTGCTAAGCAAAACTTTTCAAATCAAAGTCAAAGATGGGTGACAATTGACCAATATAAGATGCGTAGAAGTTTCTAAGCTGGTTGGATGTATATATATAGCTTATATTTCCTTTTTAGGTATGTCTTCTTTTATTCAAAGTCTTATGTCGTGTGATTTTAATCATTCTATTTAACTTAATTATCAGATTAAAGCCATAAAATTAACATTCACGACATTTAATTAGATAAAAATCATATCTATGGTAATGTAATATGTATTATTTTTTAAGAACATAGACTTTTATACATATTAAATATTACGTATAATACTACAAAATTTGCTGAGAAAATTATCAATAATAATTTAAGATTTTACACGGTACTGACAAATTAATTTTGAAATTTCTAAGTGGTATAAGAAGAGGGAGAAAAACTCTTTGGAAACGTTTGCTACATAATTTTTTTTTTTACTTTTTTAGGAATATAAAGTAAAGAAATATTAATTTTTCGCATTTGATTTGTTATTAACATTTTTAGAAAATATTGTTCTTGAGAATGACTTTGTATATGTTTCTCATAAAAATGAGAGAAGTGAGAAGTAAAAATAAAATTTTAATACAATAAAAATATTATATTATCTTTATTTATTTATTTATTGTAATAAGAATCTTAATTTTTAAAATACATTTAAAAATATTCTTAAAAACATTTATGATAAATCAAATAGATTTTCATAATTCTTTAAAATTTATGATTCTCAAACATAAAATTTTTTTATTGTATAACAAATATACTTTATTTCAATCATCAAGAAAAGGAGTCTTCTTTTGAGTAGAATCAGCAAATGTTGTAATAATATTTTTAAACATTTATTAAAAATGAAAAAATATATATATATAGACATAAAATATGTAAAAACTATTGATAAAGAAGTTTTTGCTGCTACAGTTATCCGAGACAGGTTTGTCTGGTGTAGTAGCCAATTCAATTTCCTGGTGCGGCTTAAGACATGATTTTTAATGCCGGAAAGTAGTAGCCCTTCAAAGCTTCTTGTTTGTTGACTCAAATAATATTGCTGCAACTTTAATTGTTGACAGAATCTTGTGTGCATATTTAAGATTGACGGTATAAAAATTGTTTAATACTTAAACATTTAAGTAATTAATATCTTAGTATTAGAGATTGATTTAAATACTCAAAATATGTTTTCATTAGTATAATTTATACTAATGCAAAAAAATATCAAAATGTTTAACTATCATAAATAATTTATTTAGAAACGGAACAAAGTTGGCTCGATCACTAATGACTCTTAAATTTTACTTATTAAATTAAAAAAATGGTTTTTCAGTCATTAATTAAAATATAATTAAAGGCAATTTTCATTTATTAGTATTTTTATTGTAAATATTTAATGTGTTTATTTTCTTTATTAGTATATTGATGACACGTGTAAACCCCATAAAATAATTATCTATCTCGATATTTAATGTTTATATATTGATGTGTACATTTAACATACATATCTTATACACCAAATGTATGTGGCAATTCTCGCAAGATGTTTTCTTAAAACAGATCAAATTATAATCGACAACCTAGCATCTGCACCTACCTGCCTAACTTTGGATTAATTGAGGTGATAGATACGGCGAATGCAATTAAAAAAGTTCCTCGTAAGAAAAAGTAGGGAAAATTAATTATTCGTGTATACCATGCCCATACGTGGAAATGATTATGAAGGAATGAGAATTGCTTTTATCCCAGATCTACTTTCAGTCATATAAATGCCAAAATATTATTTAATTAGCTACTAGGCTTGGACTCGTAAAAGTTATTTGGTATCTATCTACCCTATGCTAGACAGGTTCCATTTATCATCCATATCCAATGTTATTCTTTCGTAGATGGATAGATATTATGGCATGGTATTGAAATAGCTCACAGATTACAGAACCCTTTCTAATTTATAAAGGAAGCATTAGAAAATTTGAGTCTGACAATGACTTTAATAGTGGAAAGACCATCACATGATCACATGATACGAAACTAATGAGAGTTTCTTGTGGGACATCTTTGAGCCACAGCCGCAAGATGTGACCCAACACGAGGCTGTTTGAACCACGGAAGAGCATGATTCAGCTCCTTTCCTAACCTAATTTGGTCAATCATTGGGTGAGTTTAAAAATTAAACTCCACTTAATTTTTAAAGATAAGTTTGAGTTGTGTTTCGACTCATCTTAGTGCATTATATATTTTTTAAAAATATAATATAACATTATTTATTTTAAATATATATTATAAAATATAATTTAATTTAAATTTTGTATTTCTTTCATTTTATAAATTTACTATAAATATAATCAACATATAAAATAATTTTATGATTGTCTGTTTGTCAATTTAAATTAATGAAATAAAATATCAAATAATTTTTAACTTCATAAATTTAATCTATGCATTAAAATTTTTAAATTTAATAGTTTAATCGTTAAATATAAAATATGAGTCATTAAATATAGTAAGTCTATATATACTTACTTGTGAAGTAATAATAAAAAATTATTGTAATAAATGCAAGTTGCAAAAATTAGAAATTGGATTAATCATAATAAAGAAAAAAAAAGTAAAAATAAAATAAAATAAATGAAGTTAATCATTAATATTTTTTCTTTCAGTGCAAGTTTATCAATAACAAGTGAATATTATCTATAACTAGAGACAAGTCATAAAGTAACTAAAACTTTGTAAAGTAATAATTGTTAATACTTATGAAATTGATTCTAGATCTAAATTTTGCAAACAACTTTTTTTTTATTTTTATTTTTTATTTTTTTAATTTTTTTTTAATTTTTATGAGTGACATTATGTGTTGTAAAAACGAAGGGGATTGAAAAAGAGAGAAAGTGGTGATAAGAGACAGGTCAAGAATACGATTTTGACATTATATAAGCCAAAGAATAAGACGATGGGAAACGCTGGAAGGGCTCCTGATCCAGAGGAAGAGAACGCAGACCAAAGAAGCACTAAGAAAGTAAAGACGAAGGACCAGGAAGGGAATGACGACGTTCACATGGAAGTCGTTGCTGACATGCAAAGGATGGATGGGTCCAAAAGATCATATGTGGATAGCGTGTTATCTATTGGTGGTGGCATGATATTCTCGGACTACCAGTCATTGTTGAAGGAGATGGAGGACTACGAAGATTTCAATGCTGTTGATGAGGACCACTTGAGAGAGCTCGAGGATGAGCTTGATCCATGCCCTAAGATCTCCATATCCCAAGGAGAATTTGAAGAATGGTGCGCCCCATGGAAAAATGCTCTGGTAATCAATGTGCTAGGAAGGAAGGTTTCCTTCAAAGCCATTGAACACAAAATCCATCGTGATTGGGTCAAGGCTGGATCCATTCGAATCATTGACATGCCTAATGATTTCTACCTAGTTCAGTTTTCTGCAGAAGAAGATTATAGACATGCACTATACGAAGGTCCATGGATGATCGCTGACCACTATATTGTGGTGCAAAGGTGGAGACCTTTCTTTAATGTAACTGCCTCAAAGACTCGTAAAGTGGCAGCCTGGATCCGTATTCCTGGCCTCCCGATTGAGCTGTACAACGAAAGGTTTCTTTGGCGGGTGGGGAGTAAGCTTGGTTCCATGCTCAAGATTGACAAACTCACATCAATTCACTCAAGAGGTAAATTTGCACGTATTTGCGTGGAAGTGAGTTTGTAAAGAAAACTAGTGTCCATGATCAATGTAATGGGGCACATATTAAAGCTGGAATATGAAGGCCTACATGCAATTTGTTTCAAGTGTGGAAGATATGGACATCGCCAAGATCAATGTGGGGAAAGTTTTGATCACGAGAAAGAAACGACTGCATCTTGTCCCAAAGATCATGAAGGTGCAATAGAGGTCGAGAACGATAGTCATGGCGGCGGACAACCAAACTCGCCATGCCCAATCAACCCTAGTATGGATGCATGCAACAATTCGGTTGAGAACAACACAAAATCTGGAGGAGATCCCGAAAAATCTGGCCGTGATTCAGATAACCCCTATGGACCGTGGATGTTGGTCAAGAGAGGCAGGAAATCTTTCAAGAATCATATCTCCCCAAAAAATAAGGATACTAATTCAACACAGATTATATCCTCTGGTGCTAACAAACAGGAAGCGGTTAAATCCTTAGAGGATAGGATCCTAACAGACTATCAGGAAAAGAACAACCCAAAAACGAATAACACCCGGGCCATGCAAACTCATGTAAAAGTTCGTAACCCTCTTGGAGGAAAAAATCCACGAAATCCAAGCCCAAAAATTAACTTTGTGGGCCCTGCAGCAACTCGTAAGAAAGGTGGGGAACAAAAGACAGAAACTCAAGACTTTCAAGATCCGAAGAAAGGCAATAACCATGAGAATCATATCACGCCAGATTATAGGTCTACACAAGCGATGAACACCCAACGTGTAATGGTTGGACTTCGATCACTAAACCACCAATCAAGTGAAGACCCTTTTCTTCGTAACCTAGTGACGCATGTTATTAAACCTGATGAAGAAACTGCGGCGTTCGCTGCAGCCCTACGACGCCATTTTGAGCCTGATGGAGAATATTTACCAGCAGAAGAGAGACATTTGATACCTCAAGTAGAAAACCCAGGGGTTTCTAAGCCCACAAACCAAAACAGTCTCCAATGAATGTTCTATGTTGGAACTGTAGGGGTGCGGGTAACAAAGGTTTTGCTTCACTAGTCAATGATATGATTTATAACCATGAGGTGGGACTTCTTTGCTTGCTTGAAACCCATATAAGTGGTGAAAGAGCTATGGAAGTAACTAGAAGAATCCTGCTCGACAAGAAGTTCTTAGTACATGCACAAGGTCATTATGGGGGTCTTTGGTGTCTTTGGGATCCTAAGAGATGGAATATTGAAGTTGTTCACCACTCCTTCCAATTTATTCACCTTAAGGTTCTGAATGATTCTTCCCATTGGTTTTGCACGATAGTTTATGCTAGTCCACATCCTCAAGATAGGGTTGTGCTTTGGAGGGAATTGACCCAAATCTCAAAGCATATTGATGGTCCCTGGAACTTGGTTGGTGATTTCAATGCTGTTCTGCATCAGCATGAAAGGATGGGAAGGGCACTCAATGCTAACCTTTGTGGGGACAGTGCCTTCCGTAACTTTGTAGATCAATGCAGCCTAATGGATATTGGGTTTAATGGTTCTCCCTTCACATGGAAAAGAGGCAACTATATGAACGCTTGGACAGGTGTCTAGCTAACTTCGATTGGCGAGTAGTTTTTCCTGAAGCTTCTCTTACGCACTTGAACCAGCTAAAGTCTGATCACACTCCTATTTTATTACAATTGAATTTAGGTGTAGTCCGTTGTTCCTATCGCCGCCCGTTTAGATTTGAAGCGGCTTGGTTAACTCATGATGAATTTCCTGAGCTCATACAACGTGAATGGAAGGCTAATGAGTCTTGGAATCAAAAGGTGGGTCACATTAAAAAATATCTTTTAGAATGGAACTTAAATACTTTTGGCAATGCGTTTAAAGCTAAAAAACAACTGCTTCGTAGATTGAATGGGATCACTGGCAAACTAATGCAAGGCCCGAACCGTTTCCTTGAAAGACTTCAATCAGAATTATGGACTGAATTAGAATCTATATTAGCTCGAGAGGAAATAATTTGGTTCCAAAAGTCACGCTGCAAATGGCTCTTAATGGGAGATCGAAACACCAGATACTTTCATGGAACTATCGTCATAAGAAGAAGGCGCAACAAGGTTGAGAGGCTCCTGAATGATCAGGCCCTGTGGGTAACGCAACAGGAAGAGTTGGAGGCTATGGTCACTGAGTACTATAAACACCTTTTCCTCGAATCAGGAGATCATAACAACTTGTGTCTACAAAATGCCTTCCCTTCCCTAGGGACTGCGGAATTAGATGTCATTGGTAGACCAATCAGTGATGAAGAGATCTTACAGGCTATCAAGCGTATGGGGAGTTTTAAAGCTCCGGGACCTGATGGCCTACAAGCTATCTTCTATCAATCACAATGGAATGTGGTTGGTCCTTTTGTTTGCAAATTAATACATGATATCGAGGAACAACCGTCTAAAGTGGCTCATATTAACGACACTCTTATAGTTATAATAGCAAAAGTGGAGGTAGTCACACATCTAAAACAAATGAGACCAATAAGCTTGTGTAATGTCTCATACAAGCTCTTAACGAAGGTTCTTGCTCATCGCCTAAGCAAGGTCATGGAATATCTGGTGCACCCAAATCAAAGTAGCTTCGTGCCTCATAGAAATAGTAGGGATAATGTCATTGTCTTTCAGGAGGTAATGCATTCTATGAAGTCCAAGAAAGGAAACAAAGGTTGGATGGCCATCAAGATTGATCTTGAAAAGGCATATGACCGTTTAAATTGGAATTTCATAAAGGATACTTTACTTGATATTGGCCTTCCTTCGAGTTTTATAAACCTAGTTTGGGCTTGCATTTCCAGTGCTAAGTTTCGAATGCTTTGGAACGGAGAGGCCTTGAGCGAGTTTCTTCCATCACGAGGAGTGAGACAGGGAGACCCCATCTCCCCCTACATTTTTGTGCTTTGCATGGAGAGATTATTCCATTTGATCAACATGACTATTGAACATCACATCTGGAAGCCTATTTGCTTATCTAGATCAGGCCCTTTAATCTCTCACCTGGCATTTGCAGACGATCTTGTTCTCTTTGCAGAGGCTTCAACAAACCAAGTGGAAGTTATAAAAGCTTGTCTAAATACATTTTGTGATAGTGCAGGGCTAAAAGTCAGCCAGGAAAAAACTAGGATCTTCTTCTCGAATAATGTGGGCCATGTTGTGAGAAATGAAATTAGCTCAGTTTTTGGCTTTCAGCGAACGAATGATCTAGGTAAGTATCTTGGAATTCCGACACATCACTCCCGAGTGAACAGGGTCACCTATCAAGGTATAATTGATAAAATAAATAGTAGGCTCAGTGGGTGGAAAGAAAAAAACCTTTCCTTTACAGGAAGATTGACTCTAACAAAGTCTGTTCTTCAAGCTCTTCCATCTTACACAATGCAGATGGTGCACCTTCCTAGAGCATTGTGTGATGAGGTGGACAAAATCTGTAAAAGATTCCTTTGGGGGGGATGGAAATAGAACTCGTCACCCTCATGCAATTAATTGGAAGACTGTTTGCTTGCCTAAAGTTAACGGTGGACTAGGCTTGAGAAGAATGAGGGACATGAATAATGCTTTCATGATGAAAAATTGTTGGAGCTTGATTAATGAACCTAACAAACTATGGGTACGGGTTATAAAAGCAAAATACGGATGTACAAATGAGATTATCCTTGTTGTCACAAAGAAATCATCAATGTCAAACCTATGGCAAGGCATATGTGCTGCTTGGGATTGGTTTCGACCTAATATCAAGTGGAAGGTTGGAAACGGTAGGAAGGTGCGTTTTTGGATTGAAAATTGGCTGCCTGGTCTAGGTGCAATCATTAACCACGCCTTAGTTTTTATTCCACCGATCGAGATGTCTAAATGTGTGCGTGACTACGTCTCAGACCAAGGAGAATGGGAAATTGATCATATTCGCGAGCTAGTGCCATCTAATGTGTGGCAATCCATCATTAGTTCGATTATCCCAACAGATTCAGCAAGAGCAGATTCTGTCCTTTGGGGTCCAGCTGCAGATGGAGTGTTCTCTGTCCGTTCTGCATTTGAAGCATCAACACAAATATCAAGCCTAGATCGCAAGCCCATTTTCAAGGTGATTTGGAGATGGAAGGGCCCTGAAAGAACTAGAGCCTTTTTATGGAGAGTGGCACACGAGAGCCTAATGACAAACTCCACTAGAGTCCATAGGGGTACTGCTTTGGAAGCCAATTGCCCAGCCTGTAATCATGACTATGAGGATACATGGCATGTTCTCCTTCATTGTAATTTCGCACAACAAGTATGGTCTAAACTTTCAGCTTTCGTGAAGGCAAGAGATTTCTCAAATTCAGATATTCAAACATGGTTACTACATCACCTATCTCGGAATCAATCTACCAATGACAAGAGAAGCACTATTTTTGCTACAACTATCGACTGCCTTTGGCATAGGAGAAATCGAGTAGTATTCCAAAACACCACAATTTCATCGGAGCAACTTGTTGCAGAAATCAACGCCCGTGTGAGTGTTATTTCCGGCAATTGTGGCTCAGTCCTTGAAGGTTTCATTCCAACCATGTCCAACCTCTCTAGTTTTTGGTCCCGTCCACCTGCCAACCACCTCAAGCTGAATTGTGATGGATCAGTTTCTGTCAGGGGCCTCGCTGTTTGTGGTGGAATTGTTAGAGAATCAGCTGGAGCATTTGTTCTAGCCTATGCATGCAAGCTTGGAAGTTGTTCTATCACCAATGCTGAAATATGGGCTATTCTTCATGGGCTTCGAATCATTCGGAATAACAACTTGCTTGGCAGAATTCTAGTTGAGACAGATTCATTGACAGCAGTCAATCTCATATCTCACGGCTGTGATCACTCTCATCCAAATTTCAATCTCGTTAAAGAAATTCAAGAATTGGGTAATCAGGTGCAGGTTGTCTCATATAGCCACATCTTTAGAGAAGCCAACAAAGTTGCTGATGCCTTAGCTAGAAATAGCCTTTCTTTACAAGAGGACATTGTCCTTTTTAATTCTGCCCCTAGATGTATCCATTCCTTATTGCAGACAGAGTCTTCTGCTGCTTTTCTTGATTAATTCTAGTCTTTCGGGCTTTTAGCCCCTTTATTTACCAAAAAAAAAAATGAAGGGGATTGTGTGACTTATATGTTAATAAATTTTACAAATTTAACCCCACCACTTAGTAGTATAAAAGGGGTTCATGTAGTGGTCCTAAAGCACAAAGTGCTTCACTTTCTACTTCTTTCACAATTTTTTTTTGTTGGCACATCAAAGAAGATCAAGTTATTGTTAAAAAAATTATTATACGTAAGGGAAGAAATATTTATTATAATTATTGATATATTATTTAATCATTTTTATTTTATTTATTATTTTATATCTGTAATTTATGTCTTCTTTAATTCATTTTAGTATGTTAATTCTTGTTTGTAAATACTATATTTAAAATTTTGCTCTTAATTAAATACAATAATGCCAAGTTCATTTAAGATTGTAATTTTTATACTATATTGATTGTTTATACATTTAAAATAAAAAAAATATATGTACTTATAATATTTATTTTTCCTATTCCTATATATAATAATAATAATAATAATAATTTATTATTGTTATTGTGATAATAAATATTAATCATAATCATGATAAGGAAGTCATTATTATCAATTAACTAACACAAACATGTTATAAGTAATAACGATTTGAATTTATGGATAAAGACATGAATTTGTAGATGAAAGTTTTGATTTGGAAAATTTAAATGAGTAGATGATACTTGTAGTATTATGTCATAGTAAAACTTATTTATGTTGACTAGTCACTATAAAATTTATTAAAATCCAATCATAAAATAAAACAAGAAAATGAGTATGTACTTATCATAAAAGAAAAATTGCATTGGAATATGATTATATGATTATTTTTTTCAATGACCTATAAAAAATTTATTCTCACTCCTTTTGTATTTTTTGTTTCCTTTGGGTATTTGTTTTTAAAAATAATTTGATCAAAGTATATGACTATTTTGAATTTTAGACTGTTTACAACACTCGCTCATGTCATATTCTCAAGATTACAATAATAAACACTCAAAATAATATAGTTATATTCAAAGGACAAAGTTCCTCAATTATATCACTATTCAATAAGCCAATATCAATCGTCTTGGATAGCCTTATGACTATCACATCTATTCCCTGCTAACCAATCATGTTAACTTATTATATAATATATCATTTTTTCCCTTGTGAAATAAATATAAGAAATAGGGATAAGATTTTTGTAAAAAAATATATTTTTCTTTTCTTCTAAATAGTTAAGGTTGAAATATTAGTAGCAATGACTTGTACTAAAATATATGTGTTATATAATCAATAAATTTATTTTTCTTTAACTTAATGTATGTTTTATTTAATTATTCATATAACTTTGATTTTTTTAAAAGTAATTAAATAAATAGTTATAATTCGTAATTAAAAGAGGATGTTACAATAATTATAATGATATTGATTTTGGATATAAAAATTTAGATTATGCTAAGTCACCATCTTTTTTAAAAAATTAAATAAGATTTAGAATCACCTATTTCATTCTCCATGTAAATTTGCATGAAGAGATATAAAATTAAAAAAAATTTAAATTCAATTACAAGTTTTAAATAATAGAAGTGAAAAGAATTAGTCAGTCATATCTGTGAAGGTTTATACTGATATATTAAAACAATGTTGATCATGATTTTGTCTTACATATTTTAGATGTTGATGGAGTTAGATTAAGATTCAAATAAATAATTTGTTCAAATTTTCAAGTTGTATAAGAATAAACTCATCTGTTCCTACCTGGTTAACTATAGCAGTCCTGTTCTTAAACAGGATTGTATCCGGTGAAATATATACGTGGTTTAGGGGGAAAATAAAAAAGGTCATCCAAATCCAATGGCAATGGTGGTGGGTTGAATTCAACTTTCGGTTGGGTCTGTTTGATTGGGTAAATAGTTTCTGAGCCCAAAATCAACAAAATTCCTTCATTCGTTGGGTCCAAAAAATAGCGCAACCCATAAACACACCCCCCTCTCCCAGGGTAGTGGTGCTGAGCATTTTGCACAATAATCTGCAGGAAGCTAGAGAAAGGGCCATGGAGGCCCTGCACTTCCTCCGCCTGGTTGCCATGTCCGTTGCCCAAAAACCTCTCTTTTTGCGCTCTGCTGTAACCCCATTATCCACAATTGGCATTGCAAGGCCACCACTGTGTTGGCGCTCTGTATCTTCTTCTCAAACTTTCGCTGCCAGAGCAGGGTGGTTTTTGGGTCTGGGAGCAGACAGCAAGAAGACCAATTTACCTGACATCGTCAAAGCCGGTGACCCTGTTCTGCACGAGCCTGCACAGGAAGTTGATGCTAACGAGATAGGGTCTGAGAGAGTGCAGAAGGTCATTGATGACATGATCCGGGTCATGAGGAAGGCTCCTGGAGTTGGCTTAGCTGCTCCTCAAATTGGAGTTCCTTTGAGGGTTAGTTCCGTTCTTAGTGATTTTGTGTTTTCTAGCTTCCATATTTTGTTTGTGTGTCGCTCATTTTATGACTATACTAAATGTTTTAATAATAATTGCACTTAAGAAAACACAAGAAGCTATAAGTGTGAATTAGCTGCTTGTGAAATTGAAGTTGTAATAGATTATGGGCTAAGGATGTACTTATTTTGAGAAGGTTAGCAAATTTAGGATGAAGTTACCTCATTAATATTTGCTTACACAATAATGTGGGACAATTGAAAGTGAATTTATACAACTCATTTATACTCCAACTTACAAAGTTTTGCCATTTCTGTAATGTGAAAGTTGGAGGTTTACCTTGCAAAATCAAAACCTTTTTCAATCCACTCTTTTCACCATTGGTGGATGGATGAATCTTTATTGTTTAACTATATACTGATAGTCTAATGCATTTATATTATGGGGCAGTTTGTTACATATTCAAACAAAAAAGTGATTCTGATATAAAACAATCTGGTTGTTATTTTTTAGAGGTTTTTAGAAAAAAGCAGAAAGTAATATATGCTTAGAATCATAAAAAAAATACTTTAAAAAAAAAGATGATTTTATGAGAAACTATTCAAAACTAGTTTCTGATTTTATTTTTTTTAGCTTCTGATTATTTTGAAAAGCTGAAACAAACGCATGAAAAGCATTTAAAAGTGTTTTTTTTAATTCAGAAAAAAGGTGCTTTTTTATGAAGAAAGTTGTGACAATCGGAGTCCTATGTTAAAATCTTCTGGATGTTATTTATGGTACAATGTGCAGCTGTGTAAAAATATGTATTTTATTGTCTTTTCATACATGCAGATAATTGTTTTGGAAGATACCAAAGAGTATGTTAGTTATGTCCCAAAGGAAGAGGCTAAAGTTCAAGATAGAAGAGCTTTTGATCTTTTGGTGTGTTCATATGCAGAGAAAAAGAGAGTATTCAATTTATATCTATAGTTTTGCCCTTAAGGTTTATTACTTTAATAATCATTCATTAGTTCTCTTGAGGCAGGTGATCCTAAATCCCAAGCTAGAGAAGAAGGGCAAGAGGACTGCTCTATTTTTTGAAGGGTGCTTGAGGTTTCCTTCTTTGTTTCCACTCTTGCTTTGTCAGACTATCAATTCACTTTTTTGTGCTCATTATAATTCAGTATTTGAGATGAGAAGTAAAAGCTATTACATATCACTTATTATTCTAAATAATTTTTTTGCATGTCTTATTTTTAACATTTACTGCCCTGACTCTTTGCTGGGCTATTGGCACTTTCATGTGTAATGCCTAAAGTTCCTCTAACATTGTTTGAGATCAAGATCATACCCCACTTATCTAAATTACTATAAGAATACATAACGGGATAATGCAATCAATGAGGCCAGCAAATTTGACACTAATAATTTTCTCGTGACCTGTTCCATTAAAGTTCATATATGCCTCTGTTTAAACAATTGCTTCAGAGAGGATGTACTGGGGAGTCATTACTTTTTGCTAAATGACTGAAGAGTATTAATTCTACCTTATTCCACAAACAATTTTTCTGACCTAGGTGATTGTGTGGTTGGCATCCTCGTAATGAATACATAGTAATGGTAGTTTTGATAGAATTAACTTCTTACAGATGATTGTTTGTTTATATGCTTTATTCCTTAAATACTTGTCTGAATGTTTGATGTATTGCTCGAGTCTAGCTTACTCACCTTATGTATTCTGATGCGCTATATTTGTTTTGTTTTTATAATTTGATGTCTAATATTCATGACCTTTGTGTTGATCTAGTCATTAAACATTCCTAAATTATAATTTGCTAATGGTGAAGTAATATGAGTGTGATACATGAAAATGGCTGCAGTTGCCAAAGTGTCATGTGCAACAGTACAGTGAGATAACTTAATGTTATGAGTGAGATTTCCTTCCAACCTGTTAGGAATCTAATGACGTTTCTGGATTATTGAATATTGATGCTGGTAATAGCTTTTTCAATAAAGTAAAGGCAGCATTTGGAAAAACAATAATGCTGGCATGTTTAATTTTTTGTGATTTATATAGCAACACCATGGCAGCCAACCATATATGTTCAATCCTTTTATCCATGGTATCATACATCCTCATTCCTCAATTGTTATAAAATTTTGCAGTGTTGATGGATTTAGAGCAGTGGTAGAACGACACCTTGATGTTGAGGTTACAGGTTTGGATCGTTATGGTGCACCAATCAAAATAAATGCTTACGGTTGGCAGGCTCGAATTTTACAGCATGAGTGTGATCACTTGGATGGAACTATATATGTGGATAAGATGGTACCTAGAACTTTCAGAACTGTGGACAACCTGGACCTGCCTCTTGCCCAGGGGTGCCCCAAACTTGGTCCTTGCTGACCCTGCTTTTGAGGTTGCAACTGCCTCTAATGCATGCTTGTGAAAATTTGACTTTTGCAGATCCTAAAGTGGTGGCCAGATTCTATATTTTAGACATAGTCTCAATTTGAAAAAAATAAATAAATTTCCCTCAAATTTCATTGCCTGCATTTTGCCTAGAGTAGCCATTGCACTACGCTAGTCATTAATTCACTTCATGCAAGTTTCAATGTTGTAGCTTATACTTTAAAAATTCAGAGTTGTGGACTATGGGATCTGAATATGAAGATGCCTACTGCCTAGCTTTTCTCCCCATCGTAATTTGTGCGTATGACAAAAATTTGGATTTGTATCCTTTTGTAATTTGGAGCATTCAGGTGGCTGTTTGGGCATTAGAAATTCATGTAACTTCATTTGTCAAGTCTAATCCTTGATTATACCAATTGTGCACAGATCTTGCTTATTTCATCCTCTAATGATGATGAGGGAGAACTTGTCAGTCTAATGAATCGGGATGATATAAAAGTCTAAGTTCTAAATTCTTATATTCTTTCTAAATCATCTGTTTTTACCTATTTTTATGGTGACTTTGCTTTTGCCACAATGTTAAGCCTAGTTGTGTCAGTGTTAGTGTTCAATCTGATATTATTAATAGAGATTAGAGACCATCAGAATATGCATTTATACAGATTACAAGGAAATTACAAAGAAATTGAGTCAACAAAGAATGAAAGGAAGTATATGCATTTATACAGATTATATACAATATTCACCATTTCTGATTTCCACTTTGGACAATTGTCCGCAAATTGTTATCAATTATTAAAGCATTTATATACAATTTTCCCCCCTTCTATATAGAATATGCTTGTTCAGATGAAACAAAGGCAGGGTCCGTTTCTAGCTAGCCAGACTTTCTGTCTAATGAAATCGTTGCTGCTAGTTAAGGATATATACTCCAATTTGACAGCTGAAGTCTGCATTCTCTAACGATAGAGGACATCACATTCTTGTTGCATATTTTAGCTTCAGTGGAATTGCTGCAAAACTTTCTATGACTAAATCAAACTAACTTCTGAAGTATTTGAATTGAATTTTAAAATAAACATCAAGGATTATGGTTCTTGGACATTGAGAGTTATATGTGATTATGATGATAATGATGCAATCAACTACTATTCATAGACGGATTTAATTTTAGACTGTTACAGAATTAGTGCATGTTCGAATTTCAGTTTAAAAAGCTCAAAAGTTATTTTATTTTCTAAGCAACATTTTTTCTTTTTTATTTTGTAAATTGGAATTTGCAAAAGTGTTTTTGTAACAGTTATCCTAACATAACCCAATCATAGAACCATGCAATCCTCTCAACAAATGGGATCTAGCTCAAGACTAAATAAGTATGTGAGTATGGTAACTTTTTTATATCAAGTTGAGTTGTATGGATAAAAATAAAATGCATTTCCCTTCCAAACCTCAAAAGAAATGCTAATTTACATAGAAACATTCCATATCCAATTCTTACATCGATGTGGTGAATCACAGTAATGTTGGTTTATTCTGATTGGATTTGACACATTTCCATCAAGATGTTTTTATATCTTAAAAAATGTTTATTATAAATTTTAATTATAATGTAATTTATAATATTTGTTATAATTTTAATTAAATAAATAAATGTTTATCGTGTGTGTTATAGAAATTAAAATAGTAGTTCTTTTGAAAATTAAACAAATGCCAAGAAAAATTTTAAAAAGTGTTTTTTTTTAAATCATCATAATAAAAAATTATAACAAATAGGTAGAAAGACTCGTTGAAATTCTGATACGCCAAAATGTATATAAAATGAATAAAGCCTCAAGCAAATATGAAATATGCATGTATGTCAAACGTAATAATTGACACAAGACAAACCAATCACGACATGATGCACGTCTCTTGTTTCTCTTTTTATTTCATTATTTTTTTAAAAAAATTATCTGTTATTAAATGCACCGAAACCGATTCATCCTCTCTATTTCTTAAAAAAAAAAAAAAACTGCCAGATATATATTATATAAAAAAAATTTAAAAAGGAAACAACAATTTGTTTTATAATTATTAAAAATAAGATAAAAAAGATAAAAGTAAATACTAAATAAAAAAAATTATCTTTTATTATCGGTATAGATATCGGTATTATTTGGGCACGAAGGTTAATTATTCCCCCTAATTTTTTTGAAACACGGTAAAGAAAAAAATTGCAAATGCAGGGAGAAAAAAACAAATGATAAAACATAGTAAAGTTTTGATTTGTCATTGAAAAGAAGTGTTATCGGGGTGCTGTTAGTTCTCGTGGTGGGCTGTTAATTTGCATAAAAAACTAAAACTTTAATTTTAAATTTCATTTGATTTAACTGTTCACAAAAATAAGAGAATTTATATAGTATCCATCATAATTTGAAAGGTATTGATAGTTGATATAGTCATGTCATGTCAATGATTTTAGTCTGAGTCATCATTTTATATTTTAAATTAAAATTATTTTAATTTTCAAGTTAGTTTTTTTAAAAAAAAATTTTTTTATAGAAGTTAACAATGTCTTATATCCTCGCGAGTCATAGGGAAGACATCGTAGCCTACCTCCTTGTCGACGGTAGGGAAGACATTGTTCTTGCATCTGTTACTCCCATTCAAGATGTTTGTTTTAACATTCGGTAATCTCTCTTTTTCTGTTTCACGATTCAAGTAGAAAGAATGTTTCATTCGTATTAAGACAGGAAAGACTTTGAATCCATGATGCTCGTTTCAACATCAAATAATCTATCTTTTTCTCTCTCTCGTGATTCAAGTGAAGGTAACCTCTCTTTTTCTATCTCACGATTCAAGCGAAGAGAATGTTACATTTGTACTAAGGTTGGGAAGACTTCAAATCCACGATACTCATTTCAACATCAATATCTAAATAAAAGATAAAATTTATTTAAAAGATGGACATGACTTCATTAAATGATATGTATCTATTTTATTGACACATAGTAAAGACAGTACCATAACCCCTCAATTTTTTAGGATACAATAGCAACCCCCAAAAATAATTGACCATCTTATATTACTATCATTTTTAATCTAAATAATTATTTTTTTGTTTTCCTCTTTTAATTTGTCCTTTTATTTTTATTTTTAAACTAAATTTTAATATTTTTGAAAAATATTAATAATTCAATATAACTTTATGTCAAAGTATAAATTATTTATTGTGAATTGAAAATATAAGTTATATATTAAAATATTTATTTATTACAAATTTTAATTGTAATAGTTTATATATTCAAATATATTTATTTATTATAAATAGTTATATATAAATATTGCTTGTAAATAACAAATCTTAAATCTTTAAATAATTATACGAGGGTTGTAATAGAATGAGAACCAAAAGTAATAAGTAGATACTTTGTTTAATTTATTTTGTAACATACTCATTTATTTTTACTTTGATTAAAAAAGTTTGCAGTTCTTTTAAATTAAAGAAGTATCTTTTGCATAATAAATTATAACTATAACTGTAACATTGTAACATTGGGTAGGTTGTGAGGTCTTTGTTCAGAGGTTCAGTTGACTTTAGGAAGAAAAATATATAAGGTTTCTATTTTAAATAGAACTCATAATCTCTTGCTCTTTAAACCTTAGAGAGAGAGAGAGATCTAGTGAGAGAAACTTTGATTCTTCTTTCCTTCTTCTTTTTAAGTTTTTTTGGAATGTGAGATTCATAGTGGAGAGTGTCAGATTCAAGGCTTAAGTTAAGAATCATAAGGTTGAGCGATGTAGAGCTTGGAAGCTGGAAGTTCTCCTCTCTTCTCCTTCTCCTTTCTTAGTTTAGCTCGGAATCGAGGTAAGAGAAGTTAAAACTTGATCTTGATGGATGGTTGTGTGGATTATCATGTTGCATGTGTGGAATGAATGCTTATTGATGCATAATTGTTTGAATATTAAACTGATTTGCAAGAGAATTTGGTGCTCTTAGTTTCTTGGAGATTTTGTGGTATTTGGAGGTTTTGGGAGAAAACCTTGATTTTGTACCCAAATTCTTGTTATGAGTTATTTTGTTGTTCAAAATTTGTATATTCTAGTTGTTTAGATGAGTTTTTATGGTTTAGAATTGAGATTGGAGCTTATAGAAAGCTTGGGATGGAATGAGAAGTTTGAAAACCTCAAAATTGCGAAAAAGAAAGATGGTCTCTATTATAAAATGGCTAAGCGGAATTGAAAATGAAAATAGGGGTGTCTTTGGAAGGAAACGGTTGAGCAAAATTACATATTAGAATCAGGTGTGTTTTTGAAAGGAATTATCTAAGCGGTTTTGAAATGGATGAGCAATTTGGTTCTTTTTGAATTAGATTTTGTTTTATTTATAAAAGTTTTAGTCCTAAATGTTAGCTTTCCAATGACTTTAAAATCACCTAAAAAGGAGGTCTAAAACTCCAATTATGATATTTTTAGTGAGTAAAGGTCAAGTTATTAGCATTTAGACAAATTGTTGTGGTTTTGTGATTTTCAACATGGTAGATGATGGAATTAGAATCTAAGCTCTTCGGAGTTGTAGAAAATATTCTTTTCTTTCATATGAAATAATTAAGGATGAGCATGATAGGAGTAGTAGAACTTCCTATGTGTTATTTTATGTGAAAGTTGTCATTTTATGATAGTTGGTCTTTGATAAGTTGTATGTTGATACATGTTATATGATGTATGATGATAGGCATTGATATGTTATTATGATTAAGTTGTATAACATTGATATGCTATGTATGATTGATATGTTATAAATTGCATAGTTGGAGTTGAATAAGCATTGGTATGTTATTATTAAATGAATTGTTGAACATTAATATTCTATACTAGGATGAATTGTTAAGCATTGATATGCTATTATTGATTGAGGTGTTAAGCATTGGTATGTAATACATGATTGATATTGTTAATCTCTATATGCATTGATTGGATGTGATGCATATAATAGATGTATGATCAGGTGTAAATGTTGAGAATACGATGTGACATTAAAACATGTTGGTTAACTTAGGACTTCAGGAGAGGATATTATTTTGAAAATAGAAGATCCCACATAGGGTATCTTGGAGTGGTGGTTGGGTAGGCCACTGTTGGAAAACCCTCCTTGAGTAGATGTGTCTCTTGGAGTGAGTTTTTGAGATGTGTTGAGTCTATCCTCTAGGTCTTTAGTTAGTGGTTGAGTAAGGTAGGAAATTGAAGGCTACAACCCTTAACCAAGTAACTAGAAAGGTTACATGATTCCTTAAGGATGGCTAGTGGACTAACTCCACATGTGATATACTTGGTAATGCATGTCAAGATTGTGATATGTCTATATCCAGTTGTATCGCTCCTAACTGTGGAACTAGACTTTCCTAGCGTAAATGATAAGACTCGAGAAATCAAAGAAGGGATTAGTATCCCATTTTGTTGTGACTGAGCCAATGCTTTGGGCGTGAAAATGATTGGGTTGGTTCAATATGGTGAAAATCACTTAGATTGCTCATGTTGTTAGGAGATCTCTGTAAGTGAATACATGACGACGCATTGATTGATATGTTTGCATATAATGAGTGTTTAGGTGTGTTCATATGTATTGTTGATGTCTTGTGTGACATGATTTAGGTGAGATGCATGTTTGTTTGAAGTGTTGTAACTTTCATATATGGTTGTGGTGTAATGTGTATATTATAAGGTTGTTTTCTATATGTATATATTTTCAAACTCTAACTTACCATTTTTATTTCCATGGTGATTTGGATTGTGATGATCATGATTTTTCATAGGAATAAGGCATAGTTAGCTAGAGCGGGCTTCATGGAGATGTTGCATGGTCATTTTGGCAATACAATCTTATCTTAGACTATCTTTTATGCTTTGTATAATAGTGTTTGACCAACACTTAAAATTTTATATTATTTTATGTTAGATGATTACACATATATTGTATATATTTATAGAGTTATTCTTAGTTGTACTTATACTTATATACTTGTCATAATATGTATATCCATGTACAATAAATATAAAATCTTAATGTGAGTAATTTTGATATCAATTAGTAATTTTATGAAGTGTAACAATTATCACAGGATGTTACAATAATTGATGATTCAATAACTAAAATTATAATAATTGTGTAACTATAAAAATTTAATTGTTGATTTTTATATAAAAGTTATCATTATAATATATATTATCTACCCAGAGGGGAAACAGAATGTTGGCTTTAGAAATTACGAGCATTAGAAAAGAAATGAAGGGAAAGTACAGTTGTATAAACGTGTTGACGGTCCAATTCGGCTGCGATGTTGGCATTATGTGTACCTCATTTATTGTTTTTCCTATTCTTTTTCTTCTGACTCACCATGATTATTCAATGTCGATACAAGAAGACAATCAACCAAATCCAAAATATAAATAATCATATACCACCCAATTATCTAATTGTATAATAATCAAAATAATGATTCAATGCAGCACGTAAATACTAATAGGTGATAACTTTTACTTTCTCAGCTTCCAAATTTTCTTTAGAGATTAATTCAACCACAGACAGGAGGATACTTTAAGATTTTTGTAATTTTAAATAAAATTTGAATATTAAAAAACTGTAGTAGAGTGTATTGGTAGCACTCTTTATAGTGGGAAATGTTTGACAATGATTCCTGAGCACAGATGAGTAATGAATGAGAGATCAGTGATAAGAAAAGCACGTCATAAGTGATTGGCTTCACTTTCTCGTGGGTGGAACACTACTTGTTCTAATATGTCCCATGAAACCGATGGGAGTGGGGGATAAACCACGTTCATTTGGACAAGTTCGTTTTTTCAACTTTCCAATAAATTATAGACTCAAATAAATAATAACCAAAATCCCCTCTCACACTGTATCAGATTTCAAGAGATTCCGCACCACCGACGCCGAATGGTTAAATTAGAATTCGGGTTAGATTCTCCATTTTCTCTACCAAAATATCGACTTTATATTTTGACCAAAAGTTTAATTAGTTTAAATAGAGGAAAAAGAATAACACTATTTGGAATTTATTTGAATACAAATAATTGCATAAGATCTAAAACTTCAGAATGTTTTATTATTATTATTTATATATATATATATATATAAATAAATGCTTTTTAATAATTATTATATAAAATTAATGACAAAGAAACATAAAGAATGTAAAAAATTAATAAGAAAACAGGGGGAGCAGAGTGCATAAAGATTTTCCCTGGCATGCATAGACATAGTGATTGAATTCCCAAAACCAACAGAATAAATAGATGCTAGCACTAATTACTTTGTGATGGGTATAGCCAAAAAGGTCCATTTAATCCCTGTTACAGCAACACCCATTATTTTTCCAAAAAGTGTCAGAATTAGTCATGCCAACCATTTTTAAATAAATAATAATAATAATAATAATTGGTCTTTTGCCGACGATAAAGGAAGGAAACAAGCACATGAAATTTGACCTTACACGTCTTCCCTTGTGCTTGAAGCTGATCCCAATAAACAAAACAACAACTCAGAGGATAGAGATGATTTGGAACACACATGGTTTGAATTAAATTTCCTCATAATTATCATATTTTGTGGCGTACTAAATCACTTTGACATATTGCACCCATCCCAAATTTGTGCAAGCACAATCATGTGAAAGATGTTATTGAAAGATTTACATTGTACATAGATCAAAATTCTTGGTCGACCCAACAAATATACACATAATTCAGAAACCAGCATCTCTTCTTCCACGATACAATTGAAAACAAACTAAAATTATAAGACGGTAACATATTGATCTAGCTTAATCAGAAATTTAAAATTGGAGTCTAGAGCGGAAATCATAACAATACTTACTCCAACATGATTATCTCTATTAAAAGATCCACTTGTTATAAAAAGCTACAATTGACCATTTGAGGCACATAGATATATAAGCGGAAACGGTGGTGGAAGAGCTAGCTACCTGGTTCGATGCTTAAGGGGCTTGGCGGGTGATTTTGCAAAGGCGGTGCAGCAGCCGCAAGCGGAGAGCTTGGGGGAGGGAGGGTCGATCGCCGGCGAGACTTTTCCGGTGCGGTAGGCGGAGCCGCAGCCGCAAGCGGAGAGCTTGGGGGAGGGAGGGTCGATCGCCGGCGAGACTTTTCCGGTGCGGTAGGCGGAGTTGGAGCGGGTTCTGGGGAGGGTGGGGGGTGGTGGTGTTCTGGTGTTAAGGTCGTTACCCTTTTGGTCTAATTCCTCTGATATTAACTTGTCGTCCCAAACAAGCCCTGATGAACCTTGTCTCCTGAAAGACACCGCGGATCTTTGCAGACCAGCCATGACTTCTCTCTCTCTCTCTCTGGTTATGTCTTATGTGGATCTTTCTAGCTACGTTCGAACCTATTTATATGACTCTGTTTGTTGTTTCTACGTGTGTAACTCGCTCACAAAATTTATATTTATATAATCACCATGACGGTACACAGGAATTAAAAATGGAATGGAACATATTGACTGTGAAGAAATTTTCAAGTTTCTGTCTTCTTTTTCTCAAATTTTATAACGATATGACATGTAATTTCACTGATATCACATGCCATTATATTATTATTATTATTATTATTATTATTAAATAATTATTACGTAATAAAAGACTAAATAACATGTATCAGAATTAAAATTTATAATATAATTATTAACTACTATCAAATATATACATACTATATATATATAATATAATATCAATTGTAAAATAAATTAAAGTATTAGTTGGTATCTATACAATAAATAATTATCAATAAAAATATCTAGCTATCTTCGGTGTGACTAGTTTTCAACTATGTAAGTCATCTCGTTAATTATGTTTACTCTCATATGAAATATAATCATCGTAGTTTCAACTACAAGTAAAACACATGATAAGCTTGTAAAAAAAATTCAATGTAACAACTTATGAAAACATCATCATATTAAAACATTTAAACTTATAATTGGATACCATTATCATTATAACAACTTAAGTCTCATAGTATGTTTATCATATCAACATATATACATATACATCATTTAATGCATCTTATGAAGATTTTCTACATCTTATGGTGAACAGTTTAAATTGTTTGACCCTATCGAATCATAATGACTAATATAATAACAGAAACAATGATTAACATAAGCTGGATTGATTTCTCGAGTTTCACCACTTAAACAAGGAAGTATGCTACTATGTTAAGATAAAATAGTTTGGGTATGGGTCTATCACGACATTAGCCTACAACATTAAGCCACCTATGGGTTTACTTCACCGCTACCTTATAAATACTGCAACCCTTCGATATTAGGTTAGAGACTAAGTCTATGATCTGGTACTGTACTTGATTGGTCGTTTTATACATATGTGCCTCGACCTTGTCCACATACGGATACCACATAGAACCTAGAAGAGACAATTGAAAACAACGCCCTTTCAGATGTCAACTTGCTTATTGAAGAGTTAAAAGCAACGTATATCCATATAATGAGATATTAAGTTCAAAAACATTTTTAACTCTTTTCTAATTTCTATGTATCGTAGCTAAGATATGTATCTAATCCACACAGCTATGGCTTATCAACTTAACTTTATCAACTTTCAACATTCAACTTATTAGCTTTAAAAACATACAACTTACACTGTAACACCCCAATTTTTATAGATTATATTAATAATATGTTAGTATTTATTTTAATGTATTTATTAAAAGTATTTTTAATATTATTTAGTTATTTTATATGATTTTTATTTTTTATATATAAAACATATGTTATTTTTACTAAAAGGAGAAGTATATTTTATATTATTTATCTATTTTATGTGAGCTCTATTTTAATATAAAGCATGATTTTTAATTAATATTTGATTATTTGATATGAGACAAGTTTTTATGAAATGTATTTTATTAAAGTTAAGTACATGTTATTTTAATTAAAAAGGAGGAAGTGTATTTGATTATTTTTAATTATTTTATAAAAAGGAGAAGGGAGGATATAGTGGTAATTTTGTTATTATTATTATTTAATCTTATTTGAGAAAAGGGAGTTATGGAAGTTATCGCGAGTTAAGGGGAGAGGAGTTTCATTTTAACGCTTCTGACTTCACTTCTCTTTCACACTTCTGAAGAACAAGGAGAACTTCAAGACGAGGAACAACCTGATTTGGCTCATGCCTCTTCTTCTGCTCGTCAAGGTAAGGGGGTAGTGAGAAACTTCACTTGGAGGTGTGAAAATAATTGTTGAGTAGCAGGATTGACTCCTAATCTTTTTGCCTAATGTATGCCTATGGAAACAGACACTTTATAAATATTTTTTGTTTTGCTAGCTTTTTGATAGTTCTATTGTGTTCCTTGTATGATTCTGAGAATAGATATGTGTTCAATTTCAGTAATGGATATGTTTGATAGCAAAATTGGCCCTCAATCCCTTGCCTGATGCATGTTCTTAAAGAACAAGCAAATTTTGAATATTTTTTGTTTTGGCTTCTTAGTTTTCTGTTGTGATCTTTAGTAATTGTTGGGTATGAATATGTGTTTAATTTCGAAAATAGATAAGTTTTGACATGAATTAGAGTGTTTTGTGAGTTCCTGTTGGAAACCCTATGAAAAATAATTAGAAATATGATTTTGTGATAAGAATTGAGGTAATTTATGCAAAATTATGAATTCATGTTTTGGATGTTATTTGGAGGATTTTGACCGATTGATTTAAGTGATTTCATGCCTAAATGTGGAAAACACGTGATTTTGCAAAGTTGAGAAATGTAGGTTCGCATTGGGGCACGCTGGGCAAAACCTTGGCTTGGTACCTTTATGTTTTATGTGAAATGAATTACAATTTAAATGTGTATGTTTTTTACTATCTCCTGGCATGATTTATCTGTTACTCTGATGTTGTGACAATGAAAAGTTCCTTGTATGAGACCATGTGAATATGATGAGACAATGTAAAAAGTGAATATGAGACACGTGACATGATGATATGTGACAATGAGACATGATATATGAGAAATTATGACAAGTGAAATGATGAGTCAATGAAGTGTGAATGTGTGACATGCATCATGTACATCTATGTGACGGGTATGATGTGGAGTACATCGTTAGGGAGACCTTCCTTATGTAACAACTTGGGGGAGTCCTAAGGGATAGTGCGGTTTGGATGTCTCGATTTCGCTCGTTTGTGAGCATGAGACGTAACTTGCGCAACTTTGTTATCCCAACAAGTCCCTATCAGTACATCTTTCTAGTTGAGAGTGTATGGATAGCTCCCTATACATGTACTACTAGACTACCTTAGATGTGTTGTTTCGACAGCACACCAGTGATATGTGATATGTGACTAGCGCTACATGCATGCATCTATGAGTCGAGTCCATGACATCATTGCATGATGAATAACTGTGTATGTGTTCTATTGTATGTGTAATTAACTTGAATTTGTACTTGATTAATGTGTAATTATGTCTGTGTTTGTTATGATTTGTGTGTGTGTTGCCTAACCGTTATTTCTACACCTGAATCCGAGTGAGATGTTTCTCACTCCCTTATTTGCTCTATGTGTGTTTTATTGTGTTGTAGGTAATCATTAGTATGAGGATGTTGGCGATGAAGCTTAGACCTTATTATTGAGTGTGCTTTAATAAGACATGTGACATCGAGACTTAGTTAGGATTAGTTTTAGGAAATCATTATCTTTTGTTCATTTTGGAAAACTTGACTTTAATTTTTTGTAATTCCACATTTGAGATTTTACTTATGAATTATGGATGTGAAGCTTTTACTCCTTTGTTATTTGAAACAACTATTTTAACTATGAAAGTTTTCATTTATTCACAGTATTATGTGTTATATTTATTGTATATTTGTGTTGGAGTAGAGGGTGTCACATACGCAACATTCAACCTTTAACTCTACAACGTATTACTTAATCAACATAAATAACATACATCTTTGCAACATTTACAATTTTGAATAAAAACCATCAGAAATCAACTAAAGACAACATAAAATAGCCCGCAACTTCACAACATGTTCAACTTACTACATCATCATAAATCAATTACCAAACAACTTAAACAACCAACTTTACATCATACAACTTATTCGTAGCAATCAAATGTAAAACATCATTAAATAACAATTTCTAATCGTCCAACTCGCGATGTTAGATTCTACACTTATGTAGAACCTGATTTCGCTCAATTTCCTGAAAAATCAGCAATTCCCCATAGCATGCAACATAATAAACAATATTTATACAACATAATTTCATCATCAAAAACAATATGCAATTGAAACTAGTCCAAGATCGAGCATGAGCCCCCATGAACACCCTTGAACAACAAAACCCATGGAAACCCTTTTCAACTTCACCATTCAATAACTCAACACCTTTAGGTAATTCATTCCAATCATCACAACCACGAAATGCACACTTTAAATTCAAAATCACGACTTCCCTTACCTCTTAGAGAATCAATCCGCAAGAAGAGAAGAGAAAGAATTTCGTACGATATCTACTCGAATCTTCCACTTTCACATGCTCGGATTCTAGCCCACAACCAACTAGGATCAACTTAGGAAAAAAGTAGAAAAGGAAGGCTCAAGAAGAAAGAAGAGAGAAGGAGGAGAAAATCTCTCTCTAGCTTCTCTTTAAAGTTTTTAAAAAAACTTAAGTTATGAGCTTATTTTTTAAAAAAATTCTTTCATACCTTTTCTGAGTCGGCTCCACTTATCTATGCTCCAACCCTTCAGAGATTAATGTGTTCTTAGGGTCTCTCAATCTTAGAGCTCTCAACAACAACGATCAAATCAACAATAAGGTTATAAAATGATAGTGTTACAAATTTCCTTTTTCTTTTTCTTGTTAAGGGGTTGTTTTGGTTATTAGTATTTACCCTTTTTTTTAACTTTCATATTAAAGAAAATTTAATTTTTATGCACGATTAATGTAAAAAAAAATATTATTATAACAACTTCAATGAAAAAAACTTAATTTGAGTTAATTTTTTATATATATATAATATTATTACAGAATATTCTCAATTAACGCATAACTAATTTTTCTTGAAAATGTGAAAGATACTAAATAAGTGAATATATATTCATATCTTAAAATTTTTGTCTAGCTGAATTATACTAAGTTGAGTTAACTCTCCTTTAATTTGTTCGTTGTTAGCACAATCACATATACTATTTTCGATAAAAAAAAAATATTTTTTATAAATTTGAAGTTTTATTATTTTATCTATATACCTCATGGTTTAACAATTACGTCCAACTACAAGAATTCTTACAATAAATATTAAACGTGAAAAATTTAGACAAAATATATTAGTTTCAATAGTATTAATTATATGTTTCTTGATTTATGAGTATAAAACTTCTTTTTTAATTGTTTTGACAGATAGTCAGTATACAACTTAAAGATCATCAA